CTGATTTTCACGTTTGGCACAATAAAAACATCAATCTACAAAAATTTGTTTTCTTTGAAAAAGACCCAAAATCTTAAGAAATTTTTATTTCGCTTTCTCCATCTATTTAGCCTTTCACCTATTTACATCACACGACCTTCTCTTCTCCCTCGTCATCACCCAGGAACACGAGAGAAAAGTATTTTCTGCCCAGGTTTTATATTTAGCGTGTCCAAATCCAAGAATAATTTCCTCTCTTTTCTCCACCATTACTTATGGGGAAATACTTTGCGCAACAGATTATTTATATGATGCCGGCTTTCACTATAAATACGGCGTTATTTACCTCAGTCTTCACAACTATCTGGTACACCGAGGAGAAAGCAGTAAAACTTTCTCCAACTTCACAAAGTTCCCGAAAGTTTATCCACATTTTTAGAAAATCTTCAAAACTTTCGCCCCTTAATCTGACAAGATGCCAACTTCCACCGAACCTGACGCAGAACCAGACTTGAGACTTATCTACTTTGACATCCGTGGATTCGCGGAACCGCTCCGCTGGATGTTGACGATCAGGGGGGTCAGGTATTCCATTGATTTTTTATGATTTGTTTGTTTATTTTTTGACTTTTTATTTGGGCGGCCAGATTTGTAGATGAGCGGATCCCTCTAGATGCATGGGCATCGCAGAGAAAGCGGAGTTCCGGTGGGGGTGGCGGTGGCGTGGGAAATCTGACCACGAAACCGACAGATGCAAAGTCGAAGAGGAAGAATTCTTTAAACACGGCTACATTAATGCGTAAGCTATTCACTATTGCCTTGTTAACTTCACTGTTACAAATCTGGTATTAAAATTATACCGGTCCGTCAAAAATTTGCTAATGACCTGGTAAACTTCTAATACCGAGCACCGAGCTATTAATATTGGTAAGCTTGGTATTAAGCTTGATATTAAGCTTGGTATTCTTTGATACTGTATTGCTAATTGTGATAATTATTTTTGGAGTTTCTTTACTTCATTAACGATACCATTATTGAATAGAAACTTGATTTGTCACAGGTTTCAAAAAATTCGTCGGTCAACTGCCCATCTTGTATGACGGGGAGGACTTTGTCCTCACACAAACCTTGACAGTAATGCGATATCTGGCACGAAAGTATGGATTTAACGGCGTGACGGAATTAGAAGAGGCGAAGGCAGATGAAGTGGCCGATCTCGTGTACGACTTGCGATTACGTGAGAACAAATCGATACAATTTTCAGAAACATAAAAAATCACAAACTTATTTCTCAAATTATTTACAGGTGCCATGGATTATGAGGGATCAGCTTTCACCTCCGCTACCCCGGATGTGGTTCGTCACACAGGTTGGTAAAATTGACACTAATTTCCGCAAAAAACTAACATTAGCTTCATTTCACAGTTTTTCGTGATTTCGCCAACGCTCCGGAAAGCAAGGCTAAGGAGAAGATGAGAGAGGACTTTATCACGATGTACTTTCCCCTCTACTTTTCGAAATTTGCCTCCATTTTGGAGTCATCTGGGGGGAATTACATCGCTGGGGAGAATCTCACTTATGGAGACCTCACGCTTATTAATTTTATCGAAGTGGTCGAGACCCTTCTGGATCCGAACTGTTTGGCAGAATTTCCCACCCTGAGAGCCCTTAAGGAGAGAATTTTCGCAATTCCGGAAATTGTCCAGTGGCGACAAGATCAAAAAGCAGCGTCGGAAGAGTATGGGTTCCCAGAGACTGGTTAAAAGTTTAACTATAATTAAAGGATAAGTTTGTAGGCGGATGGAGTATCAGTATGTAATAATTTAAAATCTTGGTTTTAATAAGAGCCAAGCAATAGATGGGAAAATGGAATAATATAAAATTATCAATAAATCGAATAAGTAATTCAAAATTTAAAAGCAACACTGGACATGTTTAGTTCTCCCATTTAATTCAACTACAAAGTATATTTTAGTGAGAAAATGCATTCTAAATTTCATTGCCAACTTATAAAATCTGTAAGGTTTGTAAAATAATCTTACAAACTTTCACAAGATAAAAAGATTTTATGCTTTGTAAGTTAAGAACAATGTGTATGCTAATCTTCCTCAGAAATGCTTCTTAAAATTTGTAAAATTACAGAATTTACAGATTTACACTGTTACAAATTCCTGCATGAAGGTAAATCGCTTCAGTATCAGGCAACTATTTACTGTATATGTACTTTCCAGCATGTTTGGAGATTTTAATCGCATCATCATGCGATTGCAAATAATATTTACTTATAATGTGTGTGCACAAAATATTCGCCAATTAATTTTCGCACCGCATCTTTTCCTTACATTCAATATTTTTTATTTGGTATTTATAATACAAAAGGCGATTAGAGATGGTTTGCACAAATTCATAATTTAATTATGCGATGGTTTTTGGTTGGAGAGATTTCTAACTTTTTTTATGTGAAAGCCCATGTCTCGAACTATAGGTAAACATATTTGGCTTCCGGTGTTGTGCACTCTGGGGCATGAGGCAAGGTCAAATTTGGAGAGGTGTCCTTTTTTAGTTTTCCAAACCAGTGTTCTTATAAAATGGCGTCGAACAAAAGATTTTTCTGAGGCCCTAGTGCAGAAATCGTCTTTGCGACTATTATCAATGGATTCAGCATGCTTTTCGCTATATAAAACCACTTTTGTCTCATGCTTATCTTTTAAGTCCATTTTGTAGTTTAACTTCATACTTGTCCTATGGAATGCTCTCACGAACGCAACTCCTCGACTTTTAAGGCCCCCCACATTTTAGGACTTTGACACTAAAAATCCCAAATGTTGTTTATATCCAAGGTACATATAGTATATTGCACTGTAAGTACTTTTGATAAAATTTTGATAAGTGGTTACACCCCAGGAAATGAGTTTCCATCAAACCATATAAAATTTTTACAAAAGTTCTCCTCGAAATTGAAGCGGAACTTTAAAATTTTTTAACTAATCAAAACGCAGTAATTTTATTATTTTGTCACTTGTACCTTGTAGGTAAAATAGTTCTGCAGCAGGGGACACAAAAAAGTTATTAAAATTTGTTTTCAACAAAATTTGACTATTAATTTTCTAAATAAGTCCAAGAGTTTTTTAGGATTCCACGTCAGCTGATTAGCTCGGGTCCTTCTCCAAAACTGTTTACCCAAAATCTTCACTGTTTAAGTTAATATTACTTAGGACACTTAGAGCTTTGCCCTCAATCTTCATTTCACCCAGTCGGTCCATTTTTAAGGTCAGGAGGTCAATTTCCCGGTGCACGGTCCGATTTATCACTTTTCATGGAAAAGTATCAGCGATGCTGGAGGGCCCACATTATTTTATTCATTACGGATTCTTTCGTTATTAGATATAATCATTATCTAGGGTTATAATAATAATAATTTTTCACCTCTGACCTCTTTGGTTATCATGCCACATGAATAATTACAGTTTGGAAAGTGGGTTTTTGACACCTTCCAACTCTGGGGGCTCTGGAGGGGACATTTGTGAAGCTATCGCCTTAAAAATTTAGAGATATGTTTTTGAGAGTATTATCTTGCTTGTCTATCAAAATAAACTCAAAATTCGAGTGTGCACCAGAGATATTCAAGCGCAAAGTCGTGAAAACCATGTCTAATCGCCTTTTGTAAAAAATTCATGCATATACATGAATTTACTAAAATGGTGCCCGGACAATTTGTAACTATATTGCAAATTTTGTTTAAATTTTATTTGGTAAGTTTGAAATTTAAAAAAAATAGTCGAAAGTTTTAAATTAACCGACCACCTTTCTCGCAAATTTTACCCAACGGGCGCACATACCCAAACGTTTAGAGTAGTGCAAACCACCCGCACATTTATGCTCAACCGACGACGTCACCATGGCACCTTGACCTTTTTCTTGATAAATATACTCGTCGTCTTCATACCAGCCTTCATCTTGCGTCGACGGGTATTCTTGGCTTCCGTGGTTACAAGCTGAGGTGGTATACAAGCCATGAAGAAGACCGATGACCAAGGCGACCATCAGGAACAATGTGCATAACTCTCTTCCTGACGTCATGATGTCAACTGTATTAAAATATTAAATCAAATTGAAAATGAACTTTTCTACAAGTCTTTGTCGTAATTTTATTTTTTCGCACTTTTTTCCAAGAAATTACCCAAGTCGCAGTTAGTGAAAGTTCCTGCTTTAAAAAATGTGTCAATATTGCAACTGAAATGCCCTGACTTCCCTCGCATAACTCGGATATATATAAGGACGTCACGTATCGGTATTAATTTTCACGCGGAAATGAAGTTGAGGTAGTGTTATCTTCAATTTTGGGTGGTCCATTTCGTCGAAATTATATCATATAATTAAACCGGATTTAAGGTCACTTTCTTAGTAAGAAATATATTTATGTAAGGCTTTGTATGTTCATTTATCGGAATGTTATATTCTCATTTGTAACTAATCTGCATAAGACAAACATCAGTAACTAATAATTTTCGGGTACATAGAACATATTTATATGTATGATGCAAATAGAGCAAGTAATGGTTAAAACAATCAGGACGTTATTAATGATTAATCGAATATATGTATGTATGTGAGAAGTGCATATGTATGTACATATATTGTACATAATGCACTTCTCACGTACATATGTATATAAATAGATATGCATGTATGTACTGCGAAATGATTACGTATTGGCAAGTAAGCTGTAGCTGACGTTCGTAACATGAACTAGCTTTGATTAATTGATGAATTACTGATTTTAATTGATAAATTGTTGATTTTAGCTTACGCTAGTTTTAGTGACCTAACGCATGCAGGACTTTGACCCCCGCTACCCCCTTCGCCACATCTTGCAACCCAACTCTGAGGACCCTCCCCCCTTCTCGCATTTCATTAGTTATGAATAGCCCCAAAGTGAAAGAGTCCTTTTGTTAATATTATTTTTCGTATATTTCGTATATGCGTACGTATTAGAATTGTGCCCTTATATTAACAACAGATTAGGAATTTTATGTCAGTTTTATTTGCAAAGTGTGTACTAAGATAAAGAAAATGTATATTTTAAAATTAACCGACCGTCTTTTTTGCAAACTTTACCCAACGGGCGCATCTGCCTAAACGTTTGGAGTAGTGCCATTGACCCGTGCACTTAAGATCCACGGACGATGTGACCGACTGAGACCGGATAGTTTGAGCTCTTTCTTCATAAATATACTCGTCGTCTTCATACCAGCCTTGATTATCTTCTGCTGAGGCTTGGTTTTGCTTTTCATTGTTATTTTTTCGTGAACAGGCTAAAGTGGTTCCCAGGCTGTGAAGAAAACAAATGACTAAAGCTGCCAGCAGGAAGAAAGCGCATCGTGACCTCATGGGGACAACTGTGTTTGAAAATTAAATACAATTTTAACCGTTTTTTGGCAAGTATCTATGTATCAACAATTTTATTTTATTTTACAATTTTTTTCCAGGGAATTACCCAACTCTCAAGGATAAATAGTGAAAATTCCTTAACTGCTTCCTGAGAGTTCTGGAAAATGCCAATGTGTTGCAAGAAATGTGCCAATATTACAACTGAAATCTCTGACTATTTTTGCATCACTTGTAAATACACGCATAAAGACTAACCTTAACATAACATTTCACGAAGAAATTAATTTGAGTTTGCGGGGTAGTCAATAAACTGGATAAGGTCACTTCCTTAATGAGAAATATGTACAAGACATTCCCTGTTTGTTTATCGCAATGTTATGTTCTAATTTATAATGAATGCCATCCATTTACATGTTTGTGATGGGATAAATATGTGGATTGCTAAGATATGTACATATATCTATGCAGATTACGTCTCCCCTTTAGCGTCGTAGGCTGTATGTACATAATTAATAATTGCATGTACATATGCATATGGTTTTATTCTTTATTCTTTACCACTTCATTATTTAATTTATCATGTACTTTTTGGTAAGTTGGATAAAATGTAATTTGGGCACCAGAAAAAAATAAGTGGGTTTTAGGTTTAATTTAGTTCTGCTTGAAACTAGCCCAGCGATAGATATTATATAAACAGATTTAGATATGAATGTATGTAAGTAATTTAGGCTAATTTATTTTGAATTAAAATTAAATGAATATTTATATGTGTATAATAAGACGTTGTGTAACTACACTTCTAACTGACTTTTCCGAAGAGACGAACCAGAGGTCGACGCCGCCGACGCCGCCGGCGCCGGTACTTTTTTACGCACCGCCGCCGCCGGAAAAAATTCACGGCGCGGCGCCGCCGAAAAAAATTAACGGCGCGCCGACGCCGCCGCAGAAAAAAATTGGCGCCGATTTTATTTTGGCTTGAATACTAGATTTTGGTCTAATTATAATTACAAAACACACCCTTCAACAATATTTTCAGTCCCAAACTAGAGTTTTTATTTGATGATCTCTTATTTATGACAAATACAAAGTATTAGAATAACATTAGAATAAATATTTATGAAAAATAGGAAAAATTTTCCATGATTTTTACCAGCTGAATTTTCAATTAATTTGCGTTTTTGAAGATAAGTTACTTATTTTGGCTTAACCTTAAATTCGCATCTTTATAATGGCTTCAAAACGCGATTATAAAGATTTAGGTACAGGCTGAGCCAACTGTGCAAACCCGTTTCGCGTCGATTTCACCGAATTTGATAAGAAAAATTGCAAAGTGAATTTGGGGTGCAAGGATAAATCTAGCATGTATATTTTTAAATTACATGCACCCACCCCCTTTCCAGAAATTTGAGAAGGAAATTTGAAAAAATGAGAAAGTCAATGCACACTGGGTAAAACAAAAATTCAAAATGCGTCAAAAGTTTCAAAATTTGAAAATTGGCGGTTTTTTGTCGTATACAGAAATCATTAAAAAACTCATTGTTCCCACACTTTTACTTCTGACAACCTGATGCCAGATGTTTCTACCTGAGAAGAGCTGCATTTTCACCTTTCATTGTCCGAAGTAAAGTGTGGGAACATTGAGATTTTTGGGGTCAAAGTTTCTGAAGGAGTGGCTTATACGGCAAGTGCCGTAACAAACTTATGGCTGCTTATGAAAATAATGATATAGATAATTGCAATTACCGAATTTATTAAAATCGCCCCAAATCAAAAACTAACGCTCCTCTGAATTTATACTGATGATATCCAATAAGACCACCATACGGCACTGTGAAGCCACAGTATGCAGTGGTGGTGGATACCCACCAGAATCCGAGTTTCTCACTTTCTCTTGCTGAATATGGAAACAGGGTTTGTTGCACAGTTGGTCTGATTTACCTCTTTACTATCACGAAAGTGGGAAATTGTACCCGAAATAACTTTCCAAAAATTTTCAAAGTTTACTATGCAAATATATTTAATTTCCAAAATTTGCGGGTGGAAATATTTTTTAATTAAAGAATTGATCTCGTAATCATCAAAATGCTAAATTTAAATTACAAAGATTAAAAAACGCGGAAGTGTTAAAACCCCCGAATAATTTTGAGCAATGGCTTGAAGTTATGCTGCATGTAATCAAAACGAACTTGCAGCTTTATAAAAATAGGTAAAAGTTGATTAGACGTTGAAAAATAAGAATGCTTTTGTCAAAATCGAAGATGTTATAATTTTAGCTTAAAAAGTGCTTTTCATTTTTTACCTTTACCAGTGGTCCCTTATCCTACATCTAACCACGTGCACAGAAACAGACCGGGTGACAACGCTTTTATATATATACATATATGTAAGGGTTTAAGACTATGTGGAAACACATAAAAGATTGCGTACATATTTTTTTACCCGACTGCGGTATTTCGAGCGAAAAAGTACAATATAGCTCTTTAAAAGCTGTTTAACTATTTAAACTATTTAACATTTGGCGCCGCCGCCGGCATAAAACCGGCGCGGCGCGGCGCGCCGCCGCCGCCGACCCTTAGTAAAATTCAAGCCGCCGCCGCCGATGGTACCATCGGCGTCGACCTCTGAGACGAACATATACCTAGACGTTTAAAGTCGTACAAGGCCTACTTACCCTTCAGTTAAACCGGCTACATATGTCACCTTAACGCCTTAAGACCATGCTTCCGGTTTTCAGATCTGCTTAAAAATGCAACTTACGCCAAGCAATGAAAAACCGTGGTTAAAACGGCCACGGTCAAGGGCACCTAAATTATTCCCGTTTTGACGTCATGATCGAAATCGTACGTAGGAATTAAACCAGTTTATGCACACAAGTTAAAACTTGCATAAGAATTTTACTTTTGGTAATGAATGTGGGACATCAAATGAAACTTATGCACTTATCTCACGCTAATATGCTTATTGAGCTGGTGATGAAAAAATTCCATCACAAAATGATCAATGCATGTGAACGTTTTTACTCTCAAATGCTAATGCACTACTCGGAATTTTGACGAGCATGAACAAAGTAAATCGGTAAAAAGTGACATTCTTCAGATTCGGTTGTGTATGTATGCTAATGATACTTATATTTACATATGTATGTTAGAACGGAAGGAATTAATCCGATGAGCAATTAGTGAATGCATTGTGTTGGAAATAAGGTATTTATGGTAATTACGTAATTTAATTTGCTACAGGTTTTCCTTTATATACAAATTTGCAAGGTATTCTATAAACTAGATCGGATCTGACAAATTTCCTGAAGTTTATTTAGAGGACGGAAAAGTCTGAAATACAATTTCCTTCACCATATTGTCATTAGAAGGTTTTACGACCAATACAGCACCAGGGCATAAATTTAAACCCACCCGTATGCTGCGCGCCCCGATAGCTCAAGCTTATCAGTAGATTTTATTCAGCCATCGGGTTTAGGTTTATGTTGTACAGAATTTAACTGGCTTTCCAACGGTACTACATATGGTTATGAAAAAACTAACGGGTATGCGTAATTAATCATACCAGAAAAAAAACACAAAAAAATTAGCTGCAAAAGTTTAAACCCGCTTCTTATTAAAAATTGCTTCATGACGAAGGGGGGTTAAGGCATGGGTTTAACAATTATTTACATTCATCCTAGGTACTCTACTTGCAAAAAAAGCTAAAAAATCGGGAGTTGACCATTGCGATTACAAATCATTTTAAATCTCCGCGAGCGAGACCTGGGGCACACCCGAAGCCTGAAATGGGCCAATGAGCATTTTGGATAAACCACCCAAAACTGGATCAAAGTATCATGGTCGGAAAAAATAAAACTTGGTATTTTAGTGAATTAGGGGGTAAATAATGTTTGGGGGAGACCTGTGGAAGGTCTTAAAAAGCAATGACTTGTACGCAACGTGCAATACATTCATTTTCCAGATTCAAGACATTTCAGAATGCTAATTTGCCCATTTCAGGCCTGGGGTTAAGCTTTTCACAGGTAGGCACATTTTTTCCGAGCTCATCGTCGCCTGAGACTTGGTACATGGGGTCTCTTCTTCACAATTCATGCGCTAATTTGGATCTCACAATGCCCTTGCTGTCGGAGGTCAAATTTTGGAGTGCCATCCCACGATTTTGGATCGCTTTTGGAACAATATTTCAGTCAATTCGCTTAGATTTGACTGTTGGCCGTCCCGATTTAGGATTACTTGGCACAGTAGCTATATTGTTCTATTTCCTAATCATTGTTTTAATTGAATTTTTGTTAAATTTGGTAGTAGCAGTAATTTTTATGTGCCACAGGTCTCGCTCGCGGAGATTTAAAATGATTTGTAATCGCAATGGTCAACTCCCGATTTTTTAGCTTTTTCTGCAAGTAGAGTACCTAGGATGAATGTAAATAATTGTTAAACCCATGCCTTAACCCCCCTTCGTCATGAAGCAATTTTTAATAAGAAGCGGGTTTAAACTTTTGCAGCTAATTTTTTTGTGTTTTTTTTTCTGGTATGATTAATTACGCATACCCGTTAGTTTTTTCATAACCATATGTAGTACCGTTGGAAAGCCAGTTAAATTCTGTACAACATAAACCTAAACCCGATGGCTGAATAAAATCTACTGATAAGCTTGAGCTATCGGGGCGCGCAGCATACGGGTCGGTTTAAATTTATGCCCTGGTGCTGTAATATGCATACATACTTAATTTGTTTTTTGTTAGTAAGGAGATTTCCTCACGTACTTACATAATAACCTGGATCTCTTAAAATTGTTCCATTTTATTATTTTTTATGAAGGCATGTAATTTTGAATTCATGACATACGTCTCTACCATTCCTACCCTTACATATCGACAAATGTAAGTGCATGCATTTGTTTGTACGTACATGCGTAAGCTTAAGAGTTGACTATATTTTATGTTAAACCAATCCTCATAAATCACATAGTGGCGAAACTGATGAACTCGGTGGGGTAAAAAGTTCACAAGTTTCGGTGGGAATTTTGAATTTTTTGCAAAAAACTGCAAATATCATCTGGCATTGTTTATGTTTTTAGTGGTTTCCAATGGGAAGAGTATGTGTGGTGGTGGCTTCCCACCACGCATACTCTATGACAAGTTGAGACGAATCATGAAAAGATGCAAAATCTTGACCTGGTCATTCTAATTCCGAGATTAAATGTGCACTCAAAAATGTGGAATTTGTTGAATTACAACTAGTGATAGTTGCGCAACAAGAAAATAAGGCCCTTTGAGGAATTGATATGCTACTTTTATTTATATTAAATGCCGAAAATCAATTTCCATCAAAATTTTGTTTTTCTCGAGATTAATTGATTAATACAAATAAAAGTAGCATATCAATTCATCAAAGGGCCTTATTTTCTTGTTGCGCAACTATCACTAGTTGTAATTCAACAAATTCCACATTTTTGAGTGCACATTTAATCTCGGTATAAGAATGACAAGGTAAAAAAGCTGTGCAAAAAATTATGCATGTTGTCAACATACGGAGAAATATTGAGCGAGAGACTGTATTGGCTGATAGAGCGGCCAGAGCAAACTATAATGCCCCGTTAAGTACACATGTGCATAAAATATTTTGCTTATCAGCGTAAGCAAATAAGTCCACATTTACTGATAATATTAAAGTGTCACAAATGAGTAGGTGGTCAGCACGGTATGGACATTTGACAACCTAGTTACATACTTATTATATCCAGTTAAGCTAAACATGTCATATTATTCCCAGTTAAATATTTCTACTAAAAATCTTATATTAATTTTCTCCATATTAATAATTACAGTATTTTATATCATAATAAACACAAAATTGTATTATCAAGATCCGTCTAAATATTTTTATTATAACGACACCGGTCACAAAATTGATTGGAGCTCTGTTTCACGAGATAGAGTTAACCCAGATACAGAAAAATACGTTGAAGAAAACACGTTTCAAGAAGATCTGGGATTTCAACCCGTCTCTGACGATGGGCTGTACGTTTACTCAGTTTTCTTCGGGTATGCATTTATTATTTGTAAATGAAAGTCTTGGTTGGGGACGGTGCATGAAGAATGTGGTAAATTTATGTAGATGTGGGATTTTGATACACATATTCCTAAATTTTACAAATATCGTAAAACCTCTCTTTATAGCCCTATTCTAATTATAGCCGGTCTCCAAATATAGCCGGGTCTAGAGACCAAGATTTCAAAATTTTAGCCGGGTCGTCTCTAGTTATGACCGGGTCTCTAATTATAGCCTGTCTTGTCCGCTGTGTCTCGTTAATGACCCGTTCAAGAAAGAATGTTGTACAATGTGCTACTCAACCAATTAGTTGACATACTAATTTTTACCTATTAATTTAGCATTTAAAGTCAATAATGGATATAATAATGACAGAAAATTTTTAAAAAATTGCAAAATTTCGTTTAAAGATGTAGATTTAAAGTGAATGGGTTACTGATGGCATATCTTGCTAAATAAGAAAACTGAAATTGAGTCAGCATGATTTTGTAACATCTAAAATTTTGGGCGGAACAACATTTGGCCGGGTCTCTAATTATAGCCGGTCTCTAATTGTAGCCGGGTCCGTGACCCTCAGTTTTGGATTTTAGCCCCGGCTATAAATAGAGTATTTACGGTACTTCAACATAAATCTCCAGTATCACATGTGTGTTCAGAACCCCTCAAACAACGTCCTCATTCTTCACGTGAGGTTCTTTAAGTGATATGAAAGTCTTGCAAGGTCATTTTAACCTAAAATGCCCGAAATTTTTAGGAACCAAAATACAAGAAAGTTGATAATAATTGGGATCGATAAATCCATTAAGAAGAGGAAACTCTTATGCGAATTTTACCAAAATTCCACCAGTGTGTTGCCCAATTCTCAAACAAACGCGACCAAACGGAACTCCGCGGATGGATACAACACTGGCTTAAAATACTGGTATTTTTTTAAATAATAAATACAAAAGTTTGCCAATAAATAATGAGTATAAAATATTCCTAATAACGAGGGTATCCATTTCGAGTCCGCATCGTTAGCAACGTTAACAAAAAACAAAGTTCGCAAGTTCGCAAAAAAGTTTGGCTTGACAATTAATTTGCTAATTTGCTAATCTCCAAGGCTAGTATTTAGTCCGCAGAATATTTTTCACAAATTTTGAAATGGGGAAAGTTCATAAATTTCTATTAGTTACCGAAGTTTGACCGTTTGAATTTTTGAAATTTAATATTTGGCAAATTTCAGATGCAAAATTTCGGTAACTAATGGAAATTAAAGCATTTTTCCCATTTTAAAATTCGAGAGATTTGTATATCTAATTTTCGGAACTGTCATTTGCGAAGTGTGTTCACTTCGTTGCTTCGCAAAATTCGCAATTTCCAAAAAGTTATGTTGGGATGCGAACTCGTGATGAATACCCTCAATGACTTGAAGATTCTTGGAAACTTTCAGCAATTAAAAAATATTTCTTTGTTGCTTTTAATTAGCCCAATATTTATTGACTGCGACATCCCGGAAGAGATTCAGCATCCAAATTATGTCTCAATAAATACCATCGATACGCCCTCCAACTACTCTAGAAATCTTTTGAAAGTCCACGATACTCCGGAATTCCCAATCTACAACATTTCCGCCTGCCTCCAGCCAATTTACACTAATGAGAATGTGACCACGATAAATCCGCTGAGATTAATTGAGTGGTTAGAATTCCAGTTAATGATGGGAGTCCAACACTTCACGTTTTACAATATATCAGCAAACCCAATAATTTCAAAAGTTTTGAAAAGTTACAAAGGTGAGAATTTGCAAATCATACTACAGACACAATTATTTTGAAAATTCACAAACGGATTCATGATTCCTTCGTGTCATTATTATTTTTCCCATCCTTAAATAAGTTACAATTTTAAGCGTCGTAAAATTTTGTCATCGAAAATCACGTTACTAACCTTACGATTTTTTACGAAGCTTAATATCGTGTTTCTTATTCGTAAACTATGTTACGATACTCAGCAAATGAAGACAATTATTTATCAGTACCATGTTTTGTAACCCGGTAAAGTATGTATGCATTCAAATAAGCTTTATAAAATTCGTTCATAATTTCATCCTTGTTTTCAAACTAAGCATTTTAATATGAAGTTTACACATTTTATTCTGGCTTGCAAAATCTTGCCTTAATTGAATGAACTTAATCACAATTTTTTTTTGTAAAATGCAGAAGTGTCCATCCTTCCATGGAACATCCCGTTCATCTTGCCTAACGAAATTCGCGCCAGAGGCCAATTTATCCAAGCTAACGATTGTTCTCATCGACACCGCGGAATCTCAAGGTTTGTCGTGACGCTGGATTACGATGAATTTTTAATTCCCCATCAAAATATTTCCGATAATTTTATTTCCCTGTTTGAACACATCTTGGACCTGGACGAAATAAAAAATGGTGACAAATTAATCACGAGCATCCTGTTTCGAGCAGATTTTTCCTTTACTACGTGGCCAATGGGAGCAAATTTATCGTCACAACTTTACGACACGAATTTTCTAGGGGTGCCAACTATGACAAATTTCATTCAGAGCCAACAGTAAGATCATACAATTATTATCCATATTGTAATACGAGTGGCAATTATGCACCGTTAGAAATCTGGTATAGTCACACAAGTATTGTTTTCTCTGTATTAAAGGTGTTACTGCTGGGTACTAAAATTACACCGATTCCAAAAAATTTGCAACCGACACGGTAAAATTTTAATACCAAGCTAGTACTACACGATAGTTCTTATCAATACCGCTTTGGTAGAATCACACATATAATATTTAATACCGCTTGGTATTAAATATTTGAATACTGGATTTCTAGGAATAAACTCATCCTTTTTTGCACAGTGGCGGCGTCAAATATTTTTAATTAATGTCAAATTGTTAGCACTAGTATTGCAATTGTTTTGATATTCAAAGAATTTAAATTTTTAACCCCTTTCTGAATAATTTTTCAGAGCCAAATTTGTCCAACTACCCGAAAATGTAGTAGAATCCGGAGTTCATTTTGTAATGGAAGGCGTCCCTGGTTCGAGACAATACGTCGCTGAAAGGAATTTCGGACGTTACCTGCATTTTCGCGAGTGTACGGAATTCTTTCAAAAGAGAAATCCTACCTTACCAAATAATCAGACTTGTAATCCTGGCGCGTCTTTTGTCGAAAATTTCGATGCCGTGGACCGATTTGCGGAGAAGATTGTGACGAGAGTGGATAAAAAGGTGGCAGAATTATTAAAAACTGATCCAGATATAGAACTTTATTTCGCTGTAAAGGATTAAAAATGCGCGCCCGGCGTATGAATACCCTAAACTCTAACCGCAGTAGAATATGTTTATTTAGTCATCTGAATTAGTAAATGTACACCAGATATTTGATCTCGAGGCTGCGTCAGACATAATAAAATATTTTATTCACTTCGAATTTGATAGAATTACATTTTAAAAGGAGATCATTCATACCCTAAAGTTCAGGAAATACATGAATGTCTCATGCATAATGTAGAGCTGTACTAAAATTAAATTGTCAAGACATTAAAATGATTAACCTCGCTTATCAATATAAATTGTGATGAGGAAATGAAGTTTGAGGTGATGCACTGATGCTATAATCATACTGGAGGGTCGATTTACTCGAAATTGTATGTACTTTCCAATTACACAGGATATTAGGTCACTTCTTTCGTCTTTATTAATGACGTATGATTACCATAAATATGGCAAGAATATGCCAGAACATTTCAGTCGTAACATTGACACATTTCCTACACTACATTAACTCCATAGAAATCTCTAGTATAAAGAATACCTAAGAAACTTTGCTTTCTACTCGCTGTAACTTTGGTAATTTGTTGAGAAAAAAATAATATTGCTGATATAAAGTTGTCGAAAACATTACATTTCCAATTTGCTTTAATTTTCAAACAGGGTTACATACTTATTGCCATGACCCTACGAAAGGAATTATTCGCATTCGCCCTGGTGGTCGCTTTAATCATCAGCTTGGGTACCACCACAGCCTGTTTCAGTGAACATAGGAACGATTTTCAACACCGCGGTATTGGTGCAATGGTTACAAAGTCCGTAGACCTTAAGTGTACGGGTGGCTCGCACTACTCCAAACATTTGGGTAGGTGTGTTACATCCGAAAATTTTGGTAGAAATATGGTCGGATAATTTCAAAGTTTGATTCATACCTAATCAGCAAATAAACTTACTTATGAACATGAAGTTTAAAATATTTGTTATCAGAGCATTATATGTACATTTGTCTGCATTACTAAAATAAATTGTATCAAAAAGTGGCACCAAAGCGGTTGAACGTTCCTTGAAAATGACACCATCATATATAATAAATATGAACGTTTTGACCTTTCACATCCTAAGGTCGTACATATGTATGTATTAACAGTGGCAGCATACATATAAATCGTAAATGCTCATTTTTACTAACTTGAATCCTTTATAAAGCCCTGAATTCTACAGAAGCGCTCAGGTGCCACAACTAACCCAAAATATTGTTGGGGTTTGGTCCTTGATTTTTTAGTGCTGGAAGATCCGAGAGAAACATGTCTGACATGTGCATAGTTAACGCGATTTTGTCGAAGGTTCACCCTTGAGTTTTCTCTGCGTAATACGAAGGATACGAAGTGAGTACCTTATTTTTTGTGAATTTTGTCAAATCGGTTTAGAAATGATAGAAAATAATAGAAATATAAAATCACCTTACTTTTTTATGGTGATTAAGTACATGAAATAAATGCCTACTTGTAAATTCTCTTTTTACTTAAGCTCAAATTTCACCCATGAATCTATACAAGTAGAAATATAGATTCATGATTTCACCTCACTAGGAAAAATGATTTTCATTTATTCAAACTAATTCCCTTGATTTACATTATATTCATGAATACTCCGTAAAAGCTAACCTCGTAAACAGAATAATTATTTCTTGAACGGATTAATTTCAATCCAATCCTTGGGATACCAATATTTCCCTAAAATAATCGTCTTAAACATTTGTTTCCCCGCGCCCAGCGGAGCATACTGTTCAAAAAATTTTGGATTTGTTGTCGGTCGAATAATCACCTTATCCGGATTTTTTATCAGATACGCCCCCCACCAGCTGAACGTACTAAAGGAAACGATCATATGTTTGCACTCCGTCATAAGGGCGAGATCCTGCAAAGTAGAGTCGCCCTTTGAGCTGGACGAATTCACAAAGTGGACCGATATCCCGCCCGATTTTATACTTTTTCTCAATGTCACCAGTTCCTTTTCATCAGTATCATTTTGCCCCAGCATTTCATCACTAACCATATCTAAACTGTCGGAAAATATGAAAAATGCGATTTTGATCTTGTTTTCTCTTTTTTGTAAAATCTGTCTCATTTTTTCCATCGCCATGTAGAAGAACTTCATCGGAGTGATCCACCCGCCATGTTTGGCTTCCCCTTGAATGAAGTCTCCCCTCCTTACGTGCACCGCTACCGAGGTAGAATTTTTTGAATTGACGAGATCTCGCCAATCTGCAAAATTCCGGCCAAAATGATCCATCTCTTTGATTTCGAACATTTTCAAAATGTCCTCCTTCACCGGTCTCCAGAACAATTCGGACTGACAGTAATCAAAATGGCGGAGAATCTTGGTCTCTATTAAGTCCGGGGTGATTGTATGGAAAACGATGTCCTCGTCGTTGAACGTGTGGAAATTTGGACGCGAAGTTACGTTTTTCACGAAGGTGAGATTAGTAATGGAAAATCGGTCAAGGTATAAATTTCGTCCAGCTCGGGCAGCATTTACGTAGAGGGGAACGCCCCATTTTTGCGATAGGCCGTAACCACACGCATATTTAAAGAGTTGATTTCCCAACCCGCCATTTGAGTCGATTATCAGCGCGTGAGAAGTGATGTCTTCAAAGGAAATGATAGTTTTGGCGTTGGCTGGAGGAACAAATTTGATTTTGGGATGTCGAGTCATAGAAAATTCTTTCATTGATATAAAATATGCAACAGAGACGTATATTGTTCCGGCCAAGACGAGCAACAAGGTGTAACTGGGGGACATGGTACATAGGAATTGAGGGTAATTGTTGCTGGTGGAGGTTGTCCGTTATTGTTGGCGAGGTAGAAAGTCTGTAAAAATATGAAAACATGAATATTGTGTATGTAAATATGTACATAAGTTCATGACATTGCGAATTCAGGGTTAGAAACAGAAAAAGTTGTCCACTAATTACCACAAAAAATTAAGAGCCAACTTAGTCAGTTTCAAATTTGTCTTCCCTTCGTAGTATTTGATGATTAAACGAAACCAATTTTTTCGTCCGTCCGTCTGGATTGATTACCTTAGTTTTGAAATTTCACCTACGGTGTACACCAACTATGAATATGTATCTTTAAGTTATAGTTGTTTGGCTAATAGTAAGCTTACACATTTATATGTGCATACGTACTGCTTATTACTAAATAGAAATGGTTCAGACAAGGAGAAGTTGAACGTATAAATATCTGTATGTGCGGCATAAGGGTATTTGTGATGCAAATTTATGATTTGTTTCGTTTTGTAAGACAGGAATTAATCCTTTATCGGCAGATAGTACTATTCAATTGTATTTATCTATTTGGTTCACAATCTGACAATACTGCGAACCGCTGGCAAACTTAAGAAGATAAAATGGTGTCCATAAACTTATCTAATGCATGCGGACGTATAATTTCTACCAAATACATATGTCCGTGGATCAATACCTAAATTTTCAGATACTGAGAATTACAGGCATGGATCGGAGGTCTGCAAACTTCGGCCGGTACAAGAGCTTGTTTTGAAATCTTTTAATTAATTTTTGCCTACTTGATTTTCGAGCATATAACCTCTGTCGTTTATAAAATAGCCTTCTTTATACCAAAGTGCTGTTGAGTCTTGTTTTTAAACGGCACACAGGCTTTTCCGGACACCGGAGTACGCAATAGATATATTTAAACCGGAGTGTTTAGGGGACGCGGATGGGGCATAACTGTGCACATTCTGAATAATGAGTGAATAATTTTTGTCAATTTTTTATTAATGAATATTGAATAAATATTTATTCATTCAATTCAAATTTATGAAGAATGAATGAATAATTTTAATCATAATTCAATTTTCACCCAATGGCGTATATTTTAAGAAATTTAAGGAAGGATTTGGGATAAAAAAAGAATAGTTAAAGAATGAATAATTTTTTCCAATTCTTAAATTGAATGAATTTTGAACGAAGTAATATTTTTTGACAGACACATATCCCACTCAGAACCCGTAATAAATACACTTGAAATATCCGATCTATGGTTACCGGTCGTTAAATATGTAAATAGAATTTATAAATACAAAATTAGCTGATAACAGCAAAATTCTTCGTAAGCCAGACGGCAAACGAAATCAAGACTGTTAAATATGTACTGATGCATGTATGTAATTCAGATAAAATCTTATGAAAGAAACAATGGCTAAATACCGGTTGTCGTAAATAAATCAAACAATTACACGGTATGAGGTTGGATGAGTAAATGGTATGCAAAAACCCAAAAACTTTGCCTTATCGCGTATAAATTCCAAAAAAACATCCTTGTTAAGCTCTATGTTATCTATGTGATAAAATTTATTTTAAAAAAACGTGAAAGAAACGTTTCACCAGTAAAAAACACAGTTTATAATAATATGTTTTTTTACATTTAGAGTCTCAATCCCAATTTATGTATAGGATGGTTTATTCATTTGAGTAATATGTTGTAATACATTGGTCGTTACTTTTGTACACGTATTTTCGTTATTTACTGTAAAAACATTATCCTTTTGAAAAGTAAATTAACTCTTAATTCTACATTCTGTTTATTAAGTGAAATATGAATACAAATAACTATTGACATGATTTGCTAATCTTCTAGTAGTCCACATTTTTAGGGGTGTAATAAGTATTTCTAACCTTTCCCCTTTTGAACTCAGCTTTGTTTTAACTAAATTTGAAAAGAAATGTAGAGAAAGGAGACAAAATGTATAGCTATTATAATTTGAATTTAATACTTCTGACAGATCGTTATATTCGTTATCCAACTAATCTACTACACTAAAATATAGCTCAATATGTGGATCATTTTTTACTAATTTCATCACCTTTTTATCCACTCTGGTCAGAATCTTTTCACCAAATCTTTCTACGGCATCGAGATTTTCGACAAAATGTGCGTCATGATTGCAAGTCTCATTTTTTGGCAAGGTAGGATTTATCCTTTGAAAGAATTCCGTACACTCGCGAAAATGTAAATAACGCCCCAAATTTCTTTCAGCGACGTATTGTCTCGAACCAGGGACACCTTGTTTTACAAAATGAACCCCCGATTCTACAACGTGTTCGGGTAGTTGGACAAACTTCGCCCTGAAAAATCAAGACAACGTGGCCTGAAATTTATTTTTAAACTAATTAGAAATTTTTACAATGTTGGTGGAAACCATGTTTATACACGCAGAACGTGAATGAAATTTTCGATTTACACTCAAATTGTGGTAAAAAGATAAACGAAATCTTACTGTCCACTCTGAATGAAATTGGTCATCGTAGGTATCCGAAGAAAGTTCGTGTTATAATATTGTGACGATATATTTGCTCCCATTGGCCACGTGGTGAAGGAAAAGTCCGCATGAAACAGCAAGCTTGTGACTAGTTTTTGACCATTTTTGATTTCATCCAGATCCAAGATGTGCTCGAAAAGGGGAAGAAAATTGTCGGAAATATTTTGATTAGGAATTAAAAATTCGTCGTAATCCAGTGTTACGACGAATCTTGAGACTCCGCGGTGTCTATGAGAACAATCGTTGGCTTGGATGTACTGGCCCCTGGCGCGGATTTCGTTCCGTGCGGTGAACGGTATGTTCCATGGAATGATGGAGACTTCTGCATTGTAATTTTTTATATACAATAGGCGGTCCATTCGAATTTACTCACTTTTGGCACGCTCCACGAAGTGATGGGGTACAAATTTGAGCAATAATCTTATGTAGCTTGTTTACCAGCTTTTATGGAAGTGCCATGTAAAATTTTGGGAATTTGAAGGATAAAAACGTCAGTTAAAATACTACTGAAGGGAGATGGTCTTGGTTTAAATCGCTCTTCCAAACTGCTTTCCATGTAAAAACCTGTCGCCACATAAGCCTTTGCCTTAGGTTCGTAAGGAAAAATCTATCAGGCTTTTGTCGCGAAACATGAATGCGTCAAAAGTGAGTAAATAATAATGGGCCAGGTTTTGTTATAATATTTTTTAGCTTATTCAGAGGGATCTAAAAACAGTAAGCACTAATAAAAACACTGACATCAAGTCAGCTGTACTACCGATTTATGTTTCTAAGGAAAATCGTGCAACCTTATACCCTTATCGTCTCTCTCTATATATTTTATAGAAGTTTATGAAATTTTTAGTTTACCAGTCTTTCAAAAACAGTTAATCACCTGAATTACAAAACATTGCTTGCTCACCTTTGTAACTTTTTAAAACTTTCGAAATTATTGGATGTGCGGATATATTGTAAAACGTGAAGTGTTGGACTCCCATCATTAACTGGAATTCTAGCCATTCAATTAATCTCAGCGGGTTTATCATGGTCACATTCTCATTCGTGTAAAGTGGTTGGAGGCAGGCGGAAATGTTGTAGATTGGGCGTTCCGGAGGGTAGTGAATTTTCAAAATATTTCTTCTATCAGAATCATTTAAAGGAGCATCGAAAACATTTATTGAGACATAATTTGGATGCTGAATGTCTTCCGGGATGTCGCATTCAATAAATATTGGGCTAGAAAAGAATGAAACAAATTCATATTTTTATTTCATGCAGTTTTTGATCAGATTCTTGTAATGGGCTGATTATTAAGTGCAGGTTTATTGGTTCTGGCTTTGACACCTAATTCAATGATTTAAATTTTATGCAAATGTACAGTTTGGAGAAATTTAAATTTTCTTTGCACCTATAAACACTATTGTGGACGGTGGAGCATCAAAGATCTTTTTAATCTTAGTAGTTTGACGAAAAATAAGTTACCAATATTTTAACCCAGTATTATATCCATCAGCAGAGTTCCGTTTGGTCGCGTTGGTGTGAGCATCGGCTAAAATACTTGCGCTACTTTGGTGAAATCCGCATTCGAGTTTTCTTTCACTTTTGGATTTATCGATTCCAATTATTATCAACTTTCTGGTATTGTTGTTCCTAAAATGTAAAAATTTTCATAAATTGTTGAGGCTTATATGCATGTTATAAATCTGGTACAGTGACTCAGCTATTGATTGCTCGGTATTAAATTTGCTACCACATAATATTAAATTAAAACCGATCCGTAAAAATTTGCTACCAAAATGATATAGCGTTGGTAGTACCGAGCTATGACTGCACGAAATTACTAATCAATACCACTATGATAGAGTCATTCATATACACATGAATATCACGTGGTATTATTTTAATACCAGATTTCTAAGAGTATACATATTTACAAACTTACAATATTAACTAAATCGAATTCACAAATTCATACCCAAAGAAAGCCGAGTACACGTGCAACCCATCGTCACCGACGCGTTGAAATCCGCCATCCTCCTGAAACGTGTCTCCTTCAGAATACGACACTTTTCCTGCACTTGAATATATTTCGATTAGCGAAACGTGCCCCCAATACGTTGTGTGGCCGGTGTCGTTATAATAAAAATATTTGGAAGAAATTTCTTCATAAAGAGCCGTGTTTATTATTACGACAAAAAATGCAATACTAAATACGAACCAAAGCAGGGTAAGTTTGTTACAAGAAATTCTTAACTGGGAAAAAACCGACATGATTAATTAACAAATGCAGCACGTGTAGTCGACACAACATTAAATCTCACTGTTCCACTGTCATTGTGGCACGTTACTGCTATCTTTAATTATCACAATGTACATATTTTTGAAATTCACATTAATGGAATGATACCTACGTAAATTGGGACAGATTGATTTCAAGAGATAGTGCGTCCAAGTAAAAGGGACCGCTGGTTGGGCCAGTGGACAATGCTGTGATTCATACTGGAGCATTTTTTTGCATATGTATGCACGTTCATACTTATCCACTTCTTGTGCTGCGTATGTACATACGAGTAATGTATGCCCACTAAATATGCTTATCAAGTATCCCGTATGATATCATTGTGCCAATAAGTTCGGCGTATTCGATTTAATCCGGACGCCAGTGACCAATAAAACTTTCCATTGAGGTAATCCGCCCCTGATAAAGAACCGCAATGACCAAATTTCATAGGTACGTGATTTATGTTTAACCGTGTATTTTATTAAATTAAATATTTATTTCACATTTAGATAATTCAAATATTTATTGTACATATGTATGCATGTATGTAGTATACGGCCAAGCCTAAGAAATTAATACAGATTGATTAATATTGAATCAGGATCAACATAATCATAAGTCCTGATTATGTCCCATTGCATTATCTCAATAAACATTACGAGGTGCAAGAAAGCATAATACATTGTATTAGCGAAACAAGAGGTACGCCTACATGCACATTTGGTCGTGCAAGCAAGATTTTCTGCAAGGATATGGGTTATATTCTAATTAAACGGATTACCGATAATGAAATGACGGTCCATAAAATGCAATAAATTATTTTTTTGTAGTCCTCGCCCGCATCACTTTTAACCTCTCTGCTATCAAAAAAGCCGCCGATTTGTTGAACGGGTTTTTTTATCACTTATGTAACTAATAAATATAGGAGAATTATTATTTACGGACATTGTGGATGTACAAATGAGAAAAACCTTATTGTTTTCTAAATGGTGTCAAGCTTTCGATCTCGATTGCGATCGTCATCAGGACGGAAAATATTACAAATCAATTATTATTACCAGAGACTTAATAAATATAATAATAAATAATGAAATTGACTTAAGGATTCCGTAACTTCAGCTGGATGACCGAGAATGAAAGAGTTATGACCACTTTCATTTTCAACCCTACATAGGCGAAGTATGTAAGAAACGAAGTTTAATGAAATAAAATTAAGTAGAAAGAACGCGATTGAATGTGAATTGAAACCTTCAGTTAGAAATCGGAATAATTAATATACATTTGAATGAAAACAATTTTTTGAACAGGTATGCCCTCCCCCCCTCTACAGTGCATACGGCCTTATGTGCTTGTGGCGTCTCCATGCATATTTTGTGGTATTTCTATATCGAATGTGCATCATGTAGGTATTGTATATTTTATCAGCCTTGACCACTAGTGAATCCCCATCACTTCCCATGTTGCAAACATTTGCATACTCACACAAGTGCACACATTATTTACATCTTAAATAAAAAGCTGACTCCTTCTGCATGTTAAAAGTATGGATTATGTGCATATCTATCGTAGTTTAGGAAAGCTGGAGTCTGTATGGACGATAAAATATAAAGGGTGTTAATAAAGTCCGATCCCATTTTTCCTATAAAAAAGTGAAGGCTAGTATAAAAAAAACTACCCGTGATACTTACAAAAAATGTTCGACATATTTACCTTAGTATTTGGTCTTGTTACCATTTACTTTAACCATGCCCTCAACTCTTTGTTTAAGGCTCTGTGCTAATTTTTCCAATGTGTCTGTGGGAATCGAATTCCATACATCTTGAACTTTTTTTACTAGCTCTTCCCTCGTCCGGGGTTGTGGTTCTTTGTATACATTTTCCTTAAGTATGGACCACAGGTTCTCCAGGGGATTCAAATCTGGGCTGTTTCCGGGCCACACCCCCTTGCTCCAGACCGTTGAAACTTGCGTCTTGATGAGACTCAAACTCGCTTTTGCTGTATGGGCTGTAGCACCATCCTGCATGAAAACTATTTTTCTTTCATTCGAAAATATTTCCTTGTTCCCCATGCTATCGAAATAGATAGGTAATATTTTTTCCATATAATACTTTGCATTGACTGTTTGGCCTTTTGGTATGATATGTAGAGGAGTCACGCCACGTGCACAAAATCCACCCGCTACCATAACTTTAAGCCCGAATTTTGGGACTGCTCTTGATGGTACATCCGATTTGTTTTCTGTCCTGTAACGAACATTTTGTTGGTTCAATTTTGGATATAGCTCAATAATAGATTCGTCAGTCCAAAGGATGTGACTGCGCAATTCTTCACCAAGTCTTTTTTCACTCAAATGGCCACTTTTCTGAAGGAGTTCTCCAAATTTCAGACGGTCATCGATATTTTTTTGTGACATGAGAGGTTTTTTGGTTAGTTTGTAAGCTGTGTGACCCCACCTCGTAGATTTCACAAATTTTTGCACGGTCACATAGTTAATTTGCTTCTTCTTCTCTTTATAGCGTTTTGAGTCATTTAACTCCCTTGCACAATTACGTAATGAACTACCGGTTTTCTTGTAAAGTCTGTTTTTAATCATTCTCTTTGTGGTAGGTGACACCTTTCTGGGTCGCCCGGGTCGCTTTTTGTCGTGGACAAAATTTTTGTTCTTCCATTTCCAAACAGTTCTGCGGCTGCAGCCCAATTTTTGCACAATTTCTGCAGGTTTAAACCCCTGCTGATGCAATGTTTGTATCTTAACTCTAAGATGCTCATGACTTACACGTTTAGTTGTTCCTCCCATGGTAAAAATTTGAAATAAATAACTTCACTGGTTCAAAAGTTCCAGCTGAATTTGTAACAACCGCGCTCCAAAAAATTCATGGGATCGGACTTTATTAACACCCTTTAGAAGTTTAGTTTATTACTGCAGTCCAACATTCTACCCATAAACGTTTGGCTGAAAAATAAATTGGTAATATGAATGGGTACATGCATGGGCATAAACATCTATTTAAATACATACGCAAATAACTTATGACTAAATACGTACGTATGTAAGCGTGCAAACATCCATCAATCCCCATCTGGCTCGGTTACATAAGCAGTAATGTTGGTAATGCACATAACATCTCGCCCTGCCGCAATCTCTCAACGTTTGCAAATAATATTCGCAAAACTCCTAATTCCTTCATTGCAAGTTTTCTCTTGTACTTGAGCAGTCTTCTTTTTAAAATCCTTCGCAATTGCTTGCAAAGTGTTGAATCCTGTTGAATCCATACAAATAAACAATGTCGCAGCAGAACGTAGGTAAGTACACAATTTAAAGGAGCCCATAATTGATTAAATCTTTCAAAATTATGTTACAATTCAAGTCAATTCTTTCAAGTTAATGTTACAATTTATGTCTTCAACAAATACATACCTAATATTACCTATTATTCGATAAGACCCGCGAATTTACGGTGGTTTGCGAATACCAAAGGGAGGGCGCCTCCCTGATAACGATTTTGATCATTAATATCTTTGGCGCTATTAGTAGTTTTGAATTGAAATTTTTGAAATTTGCTGACCTTATAGTGAACATTATGGGTGCAAAATTTCAATTCGCTAGTGCAAATGGCACAAGAGATATATGCATACGAAAAAATGTTTCTGTTCCAAAGCGTTTCCAAAACTGCATTTTTTAAATTTCAGACTATTTTTAAAACACTCTAGAATTGTGAATTGTTCACAAAATTTGATGTGGGTGGTATCAAAATTTTTGGCATCTATGTGGATTTCATAAACAACTCAAAATATCCAAAAAGTTTGTTAACTTATTCCACACCAGGTGGATTTGTATAAAAAAAGCGTAAGTAACGTATTTGTGTGTGTTAAATGGAATTTTATAAATCACAATAGTTGAATTTTTTTGATGTTTATTAATTTAGCAGTTAGAGGAGACATTACTGATGGCAATACAAACAGATTTTGGAGTACAAATATTTAATTTCGTGTTATGCAGTTAGTTGGAAAAAATTAGCGACATTTTGAGAGTTTGGGGGCTGCTATAACTTTTACTCTGAAACTCTACCCAGTTATTTTTTATCAAAATTTGAACTTCATTTTGTACTACAGACATGGGCTCACACAATTTGCTATTTCCTGATATTTCTAGCCTATCAGCTACTTCTCCATGTGCTTCCATCGGGTAATTTATGTTTGGAACACAAAAAATCATCACTGCTGTACTTTAGGCTTAGTTGAAGGTCTGCTTCTTACACTAGAGAATTGAAATTTTGCACCTATAATGCCAACTCTAGTGCCTATCAAGTCGCGAAGTTTCAAGTTGAAATTACTACAAGTGCCAAAGATATTAAAGGTCAAAATCGTTATCAACGAGCTGCCCTCCCTTTGGTACGCATTAATGCGTCAAAGATTTTTTATCTATATTTAACTCTACCCCTAATAAATGCCATAAAATTATGAAGTGCCATTAATGTCATGCGTTGTGGCAAACTTCTATGTTTTAAATTTAAATGACAAATTAATTTTTTGATACTAAAAATAAAACATTTGGCTTACAAAAAATAGTTTCTTTATCGTAAGCAAAGTCAAATTAACTGTTACAACCCATGTAAACAAGGGGTGAAATCCGTGTGGCACATGAAATTAATATAACATTTTAGAAATTTGTGGACACATATGGAATACATATAGAAGAACTGGTGTAGCGTCAACTTGGACCGGACTCAGTTTTTTGAAGGCCTATTTCCAATTGCGGCATAGGTCTCAGATTTTGTCACCGACTTTATCAATAATCGCCAGTATGTAAAAGAAGTTAACGTCAAAAAAATTAAACTTTAATTTCAAATATTGGCCGAGATATTATTATTTTTCGAAATTTTAAAAACGCGTTACATTTGAAATATCAAGTGCAACAGATTTTTGACACAGTTTACTCCTACTTAAACTTGATTTTATTTGCAATAATCTACTTGATAAAATTTTCAAAAGTTGAAAATTTTCAATTTTCAAAATTTTGAATGACAATTTTGAAGCGCTGTAACTTCTTGCCCCCACTCATGTTTTTCTCAAATTTTTGAAATTATGATCTAATATCGACTTACTTAACAAAAAAAAATTGTACGCCAAACATGAGTGGGGGCAAGAAGTTATCGTGGTTTTACTGACACATGTTAGCTTATGGGTGGGAATATTCCCAAAATGATCGAAAAATAGGGGCGTAAACAAAACTTTTAGTGGCGAAATTCAAGTGTCACTTGAATTAAGACATATTTGCAACAATGGCTTCAAAAAATATAACTTAAAAAATTAGCCCTGACAGTGTCGACATTCAAAACGAAACCCCGTGATACGCCCACTGCTGGTGAGCACCACAGTCAGTTGTGTCGCTCGGAGTGGAGAGGCAACATCTCCGCTCTCATGACTTTCCTCTGATCGAAGGTTTTGACTTGGAATGACTCACCGGTCAGATTGACAAATGGCCCCAGCTATATCGAACATCTTCATTGCAACCCTAGGCCATATTGACCAATGTCATTTAATTTTTACATAAATTGTTCTACGCAAAAGTAGAGTAGAATTATATAAAAATTCTTTGTATGATGTAATAATTCATCACTGCATACAGCCTTAACATACTAAATATTAATATTATGTAGAGGAATCTTGCAACTGGAAGGAGCAAATTCTTGTCATTGGATATACCAGAGTACTTCAAAGCGTAATAGCTCGTGGAAAATCAAGCTGGGATACAACTACTGGACAAGACTTTTTTTCCTTTCTCCTTTCCCTGGACCAGGAACAGTGGGATGACGAAGAACTCACCTTACTTAAAGGGAGGGATCACTTCAAATGGGATGCCTCCCTTTGCGTCAAAATACTTTTATCACCCTCACAAATTTGGAGCCCGTATCCTTCCCCGTTCTCCTTCGACCAGTATGAACAAAACGCAATCGAAAAGCTTCAAAATTTCCATGATGGCATAAAACAATTGATAAGTCCGGTCGTCACAAGGGAGCAATTTGAAACAGATTTAAAAACCGTGTCCCGAATGTTGGAAGCATTAAACATATCGCAAAATCGGATAGGGTACATCAAGGCCTCGTTCGATCTTGCACCTGGTAATAAAAGCAAATTGATGCAAATTAACTGTACTGAAAAACTTGGGTGGCGATTATAAGCAGAAAGTAACGATATATTTATGACTTTACCGCCATAGTTATAAATTTGTCACCACTAGTTCCTAATTTATTATTAGTTGTAAACAGTCGGTGACAAATTTATAACCATGGTGGTTGAGTCATAGATCTATACTGTCTGGTTATATATAATCGTAACCCAATTTTTCTTAGGAGGAGAGACCCTCTACATGCCCCTCTCAGATCTCGATGCCTTTTGCATATGTAGTAGCCCTAGGTGAGTGAAGGTTAACCCTAGAGTGGTTTGATGCCATGGCCACATTTGCGCCCGCCACACCCCCTCAAAGGTGTGAAAACCACAAAAACTGTCAACTTCAAAAATCCGCCAAAAATCCAATTTTGCTCGGATTTTCATAAAATTTACATTTTTGTGATCCCAGATACTTGTGTGATCATATCCAGTAGCAATCTCAACCTTTTTGAAATTTCCGAAATTTTAGGACATTCCACTGCTCATGAATTATTCGAAAATTTTCAAAATTTCAAAAAAGTTGAGATTGCTACTGGGTATGATCACACAAGTATCTGGGATCACAAAAATGTAAATTTTATGAAAATCCGAGCAAAATTGGATTTTTGGTGACAGTTGAAGTACATGAAAACAGGGCTTTTTTCGTGTTTTTTACACCTTTGAGGTGGTGTGGCGGGGGCAAATGTGGCCATGGCGTCAAACCACTCTAGGGTTATCCTATATTCATCTAGGACTATCAAATATCCAAAGGGCATCGAGATCTGAGAGGGGCATGTAGAGGGTCTCTCCTCCTTAGTGTAATCATAATATATTTATGTCTTAAAAACTCTTAGACTGGGAAAATCTGGATTCTTTCGAAAATTTGGAGGACAATGCTTCCCAAAATGGAAATTTAGACGAGCAGTTAAAAAACTTACACCGATTTTCACCCGATCAGAGGTGCACACTTATTCCCAAGAGTTTACTCAAATCGCATCGTAAGTATGTGACTACATACATATATATGTGCATACGTAATAAAAATATATATGTACATTATGCTAATGATAACAAAGATAGGCGCGACGAGACAAGTTGGAAATCGTAACAATAATTTAGAATAAGTGAAAAACAGTACATCTTCCCATATCCCGAACCAGGCACAACACATAAAATATTTGCTATTTGCTATATTTTTCAGATTATATGATTGAATATTTTGCACTAGTTATTGTATCCAAACTCTGGCTCGGGCTTTTGTTGCAAAAGTTTGAGATTTTTTGCAACATTCTACAATATTAAAATTTTTGCATGGGAATTTCAATTTTGTTTTATCAAGGAACACCAGCTCATATGACTTCACCACGTGTATTACGCCAAATCAATTCCTCTCAAGTGCACATAAAGTTGTTTTTCAATTTTTTACTCAATATACACACTTTACGATTTACCCATAGCCAACGATGGATCCGATTGTGACGAGATCCCTCCACCAACTATAGGCCTGGTTGATGATGGCGAGCAAATTGTAAATTCTGCATTCCTTACTCAATTTTCATCTTGCTACATTAAAAACTAATGGGACATTAAATAAACTATAAATGCAAATATAGAGACTTGGAGACCACACTTATCCTACGAACGTATGGAATCATGCACAAATTGAGTTCGACAACGGCGGGACGCTACAAGCGGGAAAGTTTCTATTTCACGCATTACTCACACAAGAAGAAAAGAGAACCATGACTTGGAGTGGGAGAAATGGGACGCAAGCATATCCACTAAGCACGGTGAACGCAATTCTTGGTAAGTTTAACTTTTAGCTGGTAAAATGTGTTCAAGTTTTTGCGAAAGTATATTTTCATAAAGTAATATTTTTTTCAGATGCACTGAAATACTTTGAAGACAACTCAGGAAATGTTTTACGAACCCCTGAGAAAATGATTGTCATCAAGGTTTTTGTCGAGACTGGAAACCAATGCCGGAAAATGCGTTAAAAATGTGCGCAAAAATTATCTAAATCTTGACCAGTAAATCAAAATGGTGATCCTTCAATAAAATGTGTATATGATGTCTCTATTTTAAATGGTTCGGATGCCAATTAAGGGCATAATTTCAATGAAACGTATTAATAAAATGGCATTAAATAAAATTCAGTATATTTGTGTCACTCTTTTCTCCTTGTTCTGAAATTATATTGTACATACATATAATGATGAATTTGTTCAATAACATTTACATAAAAAACTAACATTGGAACCTTGTTTCAAGTAAACCGGAATTGTCTTGTGAGTTATATAAAAAATCAAGCCAAAAATTAGGAGTCACATGGCGCTTATCATTCCGTTGTATGACCCTTTCGAAGAAAAACATTGGGGGTCAAAGTACCCATACGAAAGGCTTGGTTTTCGCATCGTCGAGGAGAAAGGAGGGAAAAATTTACTAAAAAAATTGAACTTTGCCCCCAATATTTTTATTCAAAGGGGCTATTCAAAGAAATTATGAGTCCATGCAATTCCTAGTTTTTGGCCTGATTTTTTGATATAACTCGTGAGACAATCCCGGTGTAGCTTGAAAAAGGTTCCGTGAAGACCAATCAATGCACGTTTGGTGCTAATATCAGCAATACCGATTGAGTACACACATATATATATACATACATATGTATGCACACTAATACTACGCCACCGGAACGAAAGATTAGGTGATGTTGGTGATGATTTTCTACTGATTGATAAATTTCTCATTATCATCTCATAGCTAAGTATATTGTTATGGTGGTCTGCATGATTCACCGAATGTGTCCCATTTGCAGATAAACATTGTACTTCACCCAAATACGTTTCAGTGAAGTATTAATTCGTAACATGAATACATACGTACGAATTTACGTACGTATGTACATATGTACCTTATACACACTTATTCAAGTATTCGAATCTCAATTAATCTTATCTGGCTCGTTTGCGTAAGCACCGTTGGGCATCACCCTGACTCGTAGGTAAATAATATTCCTAACATTCGCCATTCCCGTGTTGTTTCTTTTATGCTAGAACATTTTTTTAATAGATTTAATTTTCTCTAAATTGTTTCTAAGTTGTTCCATCCTAACGAAAATACATTATGTCGGAGCAGGACGTAGGTAAGTGCATAAGTAAGTACGTATGTAACGGCCCCGAACTGATTGCAAATCGTAACAGGAAATCCTTCATCGCTAAGAGAATCTTATAATTTATAGTACAATGGAACCTTTTGTCAAGCTAGGCGGGCTTGTCTGACGAGTTATACAAGAAAATCAAGCCAAAAATTTGACAATCACATGGCTCTTGCATATTTTTCTATTTTATGGCCCATTTGAAGAACAAAAATTGGGGGACAGTGCAATGCTTGACTAAACTATCCTCGCTTTTTCCTCCACGTGGCGAAGCCCAGGGCGGAAGTGTAAGCCTTGCCACCTAATATTTCTCTTCAAAGATGCCGTTCGACGTTTTTCCAACAGAATAATAAGCGCCATCTGATTTCTAATTTTTGGCTTAATTTGTTTATATAACTCGCTAGACAATTCCTGTTTGCTTGAAAACAAGGTTCCAATTTACTGCAATCTTAACTTTTGGTATTAAATAAATAAGACAAATCCTAGGGTTTGAAAACATTATATTTCGTCGAAATTTAAAGTGAAAAAATGGATTATTTCAAGTTCTGGATTTTACAATACATAAAATTTGAATTTAGATAAGCCTATCAAAAGATGATTTTATCTCAAAACTCATCAATCGATGTCACTTTAACTTTGTGTTTAAATACATTAAGTACAATAGAATCATGTACATATGTATATACATATGTATGTACCTACATATATAAAAATGATTGACGCGTCATCGCATCATCGCATTTAAGATTTAACATGTTTAATATGTATGTACATTACGTAGAAGAATCTTGTAACTGGAAGGAGCAAATTCTTGTCCTTGGATATACCAGAATTCTCCAAAGCGTTATAACTCGTGGAAAGTCAAGCTGGAATATATTAACTGGACAAAACTTTTTCTCATTTCTCCTTTCCCTTGAAAAAGAACAATGGGATGACGAAGAACTCATTTTACTTAAAGGGAGGAATCACTTCAAATGGGGGGCTTCTCTTTGTTTCAAAATACTGTTATCACCCTCACAAATTTGGAGCCCGTATCCTTCCCCGTTTTGCTTTCACCAGCATGAACGAAACATAATCCAAACCCTTCAAAACTTTCACGAAAAAATAAAACAATTAGAAAGTCCAGTCGTAACAAGGGAGCAATTTGAAGTAGATTTAAAAACCGTCTCCCAAATTTTGGAAACATTAAACATATCGCAAGATAGGATAAATTACATCACTGCAGCGCTTAATTTTTCACCGTGTACGAAAGCAACTTAAAGTAAACTAAATAATCAATATTGTTTATTAATGTCTTTAAAAAACCTTCAGATTGGGAAAATCTAAACTCTGTAAAAATTTTGGACAATATTGACGACGAAATTGAAAATTTGGACGAACAATTGAAAAAGTTACACCTGCTTTCGCCCGATCAAATGTGTACACTTGTACCCAGGAGTTTGGCCAGATCACGAAGTGGTTAGTACATGCGTACATACATGCGTACGTACATAGATCCGTATATAAATGTTTAAATATTACCCTAACATAATAGGGAAAAGCCTGTTGGAGGCAACGAGACAAAAGACAATCTCATCAGTATCAAAATTTAGAGAATCTGGAATAAATGAAAAACCTGAAGAGATACTTTTGCACATTATAGCTTATGCACCGCCGAGAACTGTGGGGGTGTGGGTGAGGGAGGTAATGTCGCCGCAATCCAGGCAATTCTTAGCATCCCTGTCAGCGCAGAATGGAAGGTTCGACACTTCGAATTGGTGCATTCGACATGCCGCTCCTTGTAAAGGTGGTCACTTTCTTCTCATCGGTATGGATGAAGAAAGTCATAGTCGAATTCAATATCCGGCCAAAATATACTACTATACCGATCTACTGTCGTTTACCTTCGAACCTCCCCCTTATCAGAGGGGGCACCCCGATGGAGAGGCAAAGTAGGACAACTTGGGTGGCATTAGAAGATTTTAGTTTGTATATAAATAGCTTTAAAATGTTTAAATAAGTATTTTTTGTTTATTTCTCGATTTTGGTGGCTATTTACATATCTTATACAGACTCATTTATACTTACAAATATATATGAATCATTTGTTGAGGTTTATGAATCGAAGTGATATTCATTATCTACATTTTTAAGCGTATTTTAATATCTTCAAGGAAGTAATAAATAATTCTGAGCAAATTGTGTGCACAATTTTTTTAATCGGCTAACATTCGATAGTTATAGCATTTTGAAGAACCCAGACTTCGAAACAAAATTTATTTAACAGTTCCGTCATAGGCGAAAAGACGTTATTTCAAGAAAACGTAAAAATATGGGTCCGTTTATTTCTACTACTCGAAATATTACTTTACCTTCCAATTACATATTTGTGTACTACAATAATTTTCCTTGGATACGAAGGTATTTTGGAAATTGTATATGATAAGTTATCTTTTGACTGTGTTACACATATTTTAATACCCCCAATACAATAATATAACTTGTGAAACTGGTGCAAACTTGAATACGCTCCCGTGTAATTGGGTGCTAATGCAAATAATTTTACTATATAAACTGTATTTCATTAGTACGAAAAACAATATTTTGAAAAATTGCGCGGAATCCATCTGATACAAAATCTTAATTAAACTATGCATTATTTTCAACGCAACGTAATATTTTCCAAAATTAGGGTTAATTGTATAATTCTTTTCTCCAATGTTTCTTTTAAAATTTCTCTCATACACCTATCAATTAATCTACCGCACCCCCAGACTCTTATCTCCCTCAGCCCCTCTTAAATTTACCCCTGTCTCATTCTTCTTAACCTCCCATCCCTGCAGGCACCCCTTCTCCACCGTGCTCCCCGAACCGTAAAATTTTTCCGAAATTCTTCCCAGATACCGGGAAATATCCGTGTTCGGCAAATCATACATCATAAAAGCCCCATACCCATCCCTAACCGTCCTCTCTGCCAGATTTTGCGCCGAAATTATATTCGTCCCTGTGACATCTACCGCCGCCGGGGATAATCTCGCTTTCCCCAACTTAGGCAATTTTGGAACAGAGTAAGTCCCATAATACGGATTCCAGCTGTAATCCAGGTAATCCCCCGCGCTCAAATCTCCATACGTCAGCCGGGTCGAGGCCGGTCCGATAAAATAAAACGAAATGATCTTCTTCGGCATGAGGGCTCTCAATTCTCGGAGGAAATAGACAAACGAAAAAGCGTTCGGTTTATCCGTCTCATTTTCCCCATATTGAACAAACTCGTCGTCCAAGTCGACCCCGTCGAGGCCATAGCGCGAAACAGTTTCGGACAGTTGGGTCGCAAAATCGCGGGCGGATTGGATATCGGGGAAGTTGCAGAATCCGGCGCCTTGATGATTTCCTAGGATGGAGAGGAGCACCTTGATCCCTCTTTTTTGCAGGGGTCGGACATACCGGTCAACGTTGGAGAGGACCTTGACCACATTTTCGTTCATGTGGAGGACAGCGGTTTTGTTGGTGGGGGAGAGGTTAATGTTGGCGGCGAAGATGATTCCGATATGGAAGAGGGAATTGTTCGTGGAGTGGGTGCGTGTGTAGCAGGCCACGTTTTGAAAATTGTTGCGGTTTACTTCGACATAAATTATGGAGAGAGGAGGTGTCTGGATGTATTTGGTGAAATTTGAGGTGGTTAAGGGCTGGTCGGGTTCTTGAGGAATGAGGGAGTCCTAAATTCGTAAAGTTAGATACATAATTATGAGGTTAGTTAATTAGTGTTATTGTTAAAATAAAGATCAGTAAGGTATGTAGACACTTATGCTTGTGCTTGTGCACATTGGCGTGAAATATGTTATCTTCGCAACGTATCTTTTGCTAGTTACGAAGAAAATTACACGTTTTCCAGAAAGAAAGTTATGTTAAATTTCGCATACTGTCGTAAAATTGGACAAATTATGTATGTATATGAGAAGGAAGATTGTCGTACGCACGCCTACGCCTACTGTGTAAATACATATGCAAAATTGTGTTAAACGCCAAACGGAAATTTACCTATAATTTCAAGTTGACTCGTCATATGTATTATCAAATTTGAAATCTCAGGTAATATGAATATTTGTAGTTTACAAGCATATGTATCTACTACAAATTTATTCAAGAAGCTAATATGCAAAAATAAAATTTTTACCTCCTTTACAAATTGAGTCTGATTTTGAGCCATGTCAGGATCCAGGGGTAAGTTTAGATTTTCAGGAATCAAAATGAAAACTATGCAGTAACTAATTATAGTGTTGCACATTTCAGTTTACTTGTCGGATGATTATTTATGATGTGAGATTGAAAGTTCAAGCGTGAGTGAACATTAAAAAGTGAATGCAGTAAAAAAGGAAATAGTAAATGGAAAGGTTGAACTTTTAAACGAAAGGGTTAACCTATTTCAAATAGGCTATTTAAAAAGGTAGCATTGTAAAAAAAATGTTGAAAGTCAGAATAGCATACAATTTTCTCACCCTTTAAAATTCTAAATTCTCTTTATTAACATAAAATAAATAAGGGTGAACGAACGGATTTAAGAAAACATCTTTTATATTTCCCGACGACCCTTTTATCTTTACCGACAGTAGGCAGGATGTCCAGCATTTTCATATACACACAGTTAAAAAAGAGCAACTTAAAAATAACCGTCTCTCTAAAAATTTAATTTAAACCCTTTATTTATAGAACCCTAACTAACATCCTTTAGTACTAAATTTACCTCATAACTCCGCACACTTACCAAATAATAAAGGGAAATATTTATTTTTTTTCGGTCAGGAAATTGGTCAATTTGCCGAGATTTCACATCTGCAAATGTGCGCAAAGAGTTGATCTGTCATCAAACAAAGGTCGTGAAAAAATAATCTAGGCTGAACATGGTTTGCTTCTTCATCGTTTGAATTGTTCATGCGTTTTTGTTTTCCAATGTGCCAGAGATGTTGAAGGCTCCGATCTTCAGGGGAAATGCGGCATCTTTGGAAAAAAACCGAATGCAAAAAGCGTGTTTGAGAAATGCGTTTGTGACAACTATGTAATCCTAAATTAGAAATTGGACTGTATTATTTTGATGCAGTTTTGATCAGTTTAAATTTACGTTGTAGTGTTACTAAAATAAATAACTGATAAGTAGATCGTTTTCAGTAATGGCTTATCGCAACCTTTTTAGGAACTATTTTTCCACGCATCCATGAGCTCCATTCCATTAACTGTTGTGCGGCTTGTCTCGCTTTCACAATAGAGTGAATTTTGCATATACTTAAAGAAAATTAAGTTTGATCTCATGTTAAGAAAGGGTGTTTCAAGTAAGAGCCACAATTAAATAGAATCAGATACCAACTTTATTTGTTTCCTTGACATTTCCATTTTTTCATGCTTACAATTTTACTTTAACTCAATTCGCACTAATTATACTTTTGCTAATTCATTCGACTACTAGTTTCCCAATCCATCAAAAACCTCAACAATTCTCCTCAATTCATCACATTTATCCATTTTCCGGAAATCCCGACTCTTCCTGATCCGCTTGCTGATCCTTGCGCCACTTGTCGATTTCCGGAATTGCGAAAATCTTCTCTTTCAAGGCTCTCAGTGTGGGGAACTCTGCCAAACAGTTGGGATCCAAAAGGGTTTCAACCACTTCGATGAAATTGACGAGTGTGAGGTCTCCATAAGTGAGATTCTCCCCCGCGATGTAATTCCCCCCACTGGTCTCCAAAATGGAGGCAAATTTTGAAAAGTAGAGGGGAAAGTACATCGTGATAAAGTCCTGTCTCATCTTCTCCTTAGCCTTGCTTTCCGGAGCGTTGGCAAAATCGCGAAAAACTGTGACATGAAAATATTGTAAGTTTTTTTTGCGGGTGCGAAATTTATGTTAATTTTACCAACCTGTGTGACGAACCACGTCCGGTGTGGCGGAATTAAAAGCGGATCCCTCATAGTCGACAGCTCCTAAATCAATTTGCAAACATATAATTTGTGCATTTGCACATATAATAAATTCGCAAAAATATGTATGTGTTCGCCAAATAAATGCATTATCATAATGAAATCTTCTTACGTAATCGCAAGTCGTACACGAGATCTGCCACTTCATCCGCTTTCGCCTCTTCCAATTCCGTCACGCCATTAAATCCCAGCTTTCGAGCGAGATATCGCATGACTGTCAGGGTTTGTGTGAGGACAAAGTCATCTCCATCATACAGAATGGGAAGTTGACCCACATATTTCTTAAAACCTGGAAAGATTAGAAAAGTCAAAAATTTCAATTTAGAAATGTAAAAACTTCATTAGCTTACGCAATAATGTTGCTGCATTCAAAGAATTTTTCCTCTTAGTCTTTGCATCTGTCGGTTTGGTGGTCAAATTTCCCACGCCGCCGCCACCCCCACCGGAACTCCGTTTCCGTTGTGATGCCCATGCATCAAGGGGCATTCGCTCATCTACGAACGGCACGTTCTTCATCGTCAACATCCACCGGAGAGGTTCCGCGAATCCACGGATGTCAAAGTAGATCAGTCTCAAATCTGCGTCTTGTACGGCGGAACCCATTGTTTAAGATTATTTGTGAAGTAAGCTTGCGATTTTTATGTTCTAAATGAAAGTATGGGTTTTTTATGATTTGGGAAAGTTTTTATGGTTTGGAGAAAGTTTTGGAATTTTATGTTTTTTGAAAACTTTTCGCTTTTTGTTTCGGAAAAATTAAGCTTTAGTTTCCTTCCCTTTCTCTCCTGGATTGGCTGCTTCTTCTCGAATGAAGTGTGCCTATCAATGGTGCCGTATTTATACGTGCCATCCAAAGTTCCACTGTCGCAAAGTATTATCCCACAAATACATCAAGTTTCTATTTTTACCCCAAAAACTAGTATTTCTGGCTACAGACGCGATAAATATGGATAAAAGTAGCAAAATATTTTCTACATACATATAGGATGACGCCAATTAGAGGAGAAAGTCACGTATTCGACCAAGTGTACTAAATAGCGTAATACATATCTATCTACTTATATTCACCCATATTCGCGTGACATCCATGTGCGTAATAGCAACCACCAATCTAAGGTATTTTCAGCGTAATTCGATACATTTCCACAATTAAGACGTGACATAAGTCACGTATTCAAACTGTTGCTTTCGTACTTGTATACGTATGCATGCATCCGAAATCAGAATCAATTTACGTACAGTACAGCAGAGGAGAAAGTTCTTATCGTGGTGAAAATATTGTAATTCCAAGCCAAATTCTAAATAGTGTAGCTATAAATATACATAAAAATAGGACGGAAAATATAATTATTTTGTAAAATTAAGCACTTTGTCAAACCACATAATTTTTACTAAATCTTATTCCAAAGTAATCCAACGAATTCTGACGTTTGCATCAATAACTCAAAATTATTAATTCTTAAAATTATTATGCATTCGTTATGTACCGGCCCAAAGTAACTTACGCACTTACAAAAAGTTATAATTTACAATATCTTAACCATTTAATTCGTGGGCGTGGTGGTTGTTGGTTTAGCCGTCGTTGACAACTTGTCAATGATTGCTGGGCAACTATTCCCGCAAAGTGAGACTGATCTGGCGAAAACAGCAAAACTTCGAATGGGATAGAATCTCCAATGCCATAAGTCATGCAGGTTTGGATAGCCTGGCCGTAATTGAACCGAGCTCCCCCCACACGTGGCGTCATAATGTAACTCGACGCATGTGGTTGTGGCAGTTCCGGAGATTTTAATCGAGTCCCAAGTTGGCAATGAGACATATCGTCTTATTGTGACGCACTGCATCCCAGATATTGAGAACGTAGAATTGGTTCCTGAAATATTCGGCGTGTCAATCATTTTAATTTGTCCTCAGAAATTGACTTAATCAAAATATGCTCTTCTCACCTTCATAGTTCTCCTTGTCGTAAAGGGTAACGCTAGCTGAGAGATCCCGCCTCATTCCGACCCAATTTTGAGGGTCACATTTCTCAAAACATGGCCCGATTGAGGCAACGGTGGCGTTTTCATTGGTAACTAAAACGCCGTCCTGTCTCCAATGTGCCGCCACGTTGTCGACATACATGAACCCAAAACTAGTTTGGAGTCGGATGAATTGTCCGACGCAGTTTTCTTGAGAATAAATGTTGATACAGGTTCCATTTGTGCGAATTGTGTGGATATCGCCAGATTTCGATTCGGGTAAGACGGGAATGCAACGATCCACGTTGTAAAGTATTGCTAAATATTTAGGAAGAAGAAAGTATTACAAATCTTCAAGTGCATGAGAATGATTTATATTTCTTGCATTTATCGTGCAAGTCGGTTTTTAAAGAGGCGAAACTTCTGTTTAATAGATAATGCATACATAGATCGGAGTCCTCCGGGCTTGGAGTACGTACTCCGGCCTCCGGAGGCCGGAGTACGCGACTTTTCTGGAGGCCGGAGTACGCGGAGGCCGGAGTACGCGTGGCCAGCCGGAGGCCGGAGTACGCGGAGGCCGGAGTACGCATGGCCGGCCGGAGGCCGGAGTACGCAAAATATCCGATCTATGAATGCATATGAATATATAGGTATGTAGATATTTAGAGTAATTTATAGTTTAATAGTTAAATGAAAATAATTTGTATGGTTTTGTTCTCACGATTTTTTTCCGTTGGGACATCAATTTCAATTACCGATCCAAAATTTGATCTAATTCCGATAGTGATAAGCAGCACTTCTATGATTGATCTTTTTAACTTGGTTGTATGCATTTTCAACTTTCGTTTCTCTTCGCGTTCAGTCGTAATCAGATCAGAAAGAGTTATTCGTTTATGGCTTAAATTATGCAGATTTGTATGAAATTTAAAAATATTGAGGGTATTCATTACGAGTTCGCATCGTTAGCAACGTTCGCAAAAAAATTAAGTTCGCAAGTTCGCAAAAAAAATTGGCTTGAAAATTGGTTTGCGAACTTGCGCATCTCCAGGGCTAGTATTTGGTTCGCAAAATATTTTTGACAAATTTTGCAATGGGAAAAGTCCATAAATCTCCATTGGTTACCGAAATTTTGGCTTTTGAATTTTTGAAATTTTTTATTTGGTAAATTTCAGATGCAAAATTTCGGTAACTAATAGAAATTGAAGTATTTTTCCCATTCTAAAATTCGAGAGATTTATAAATCTAATTTTCGGAGCTGTCATTTGCGAAGTGTCTTCATTTCGTTGCTTCGCAAAATTCGCAATTTCGAAAAAGTTATGTTGCGATGCGAACATGCGAACTCGTAATGAATACCCTCATTATTTTACTAATTGTAAGAGATGAAAAGACTTGAAAGTTAACATTATTTCTGTTGTCTAGCTTAATCTGAAGACTTTTGCAGATTTTGCCAGGATGTGTGCACAGATGTTGACAAGGTTGCGTAGAGGTTATTAATGGCTTTAGATAATCCAGCATGCTTAAGTTAACCAATCACTGCTTACATACATAATTTCAACTTGCTTCCAAGAAATTAATAATCGGGAGGCGCCTTCACGAAATGCAGGAATATCTTAACCATAAATAAACAAGTTTGCCATTCATTTTTAAAGGTGTGACGAAAACACTTCATTCAACTCATTCTGTAGGAATTTATAATCTTGCATGTTCAAATACGATGTACATACATACAATTTCGTGGTAAGAGTTTGCTTTGCAAAAATGTTTGACTTTTTTTATGAGTAACATGGGTCGGGATAAACGTGTAAGCAATCTTTCCGAAGTGTGATATTACTTATTCAAGGCCAAGTCAACACATATGTATGTACATATGTATCTGTATACTTTGCTATGAATTTTGTAACATGTGTAGGCACGTATGTATTACATACATATGTAGATACGTACGTACATACAGTGGAATTACGTATTTGCGCAATATTGAGATTTATGCAAATGAGGTGAAACGTACAAATAATTCCAGGGTACATAGAAAATGGTATTGAATCGTCACCGACCAGGGTGCATATATGTATAACTTCACCAGCACGGTAATAACGAGAATAACAGTATTCATTACCATATAGTAGTAAATTATACCGTCGTGATAATGAAAACTTACCAGCCAGAAACAAATTATTACCAATCCGGGAGGAAGTTATTCCCAAATATATATGTATACCAACACGGAGTGTACGACTTCATCACATTTTTAAATGTATAAATACGCTTACATACATATGTTCATCAAGTCGTTGTTAATAAAATGTGAAACTAGCTAGATTAATTTCTTTACTGGTTAAGTAATAAAATCCCGAATAAGCAATTGAGAAAGTAGGCATACGTAAAAAGTAGGGGAAAGTAAGCATGTCAATAATTCTGTAATAACCATTTCGTCATTCTGGAGGTATGATGACGAAAACTTGTCTCGACTGTTATCCTGCTGACAGGCATGCCCACAGATGGATAAAGTATTCGCTTAATCAGATTTCACCCTACAAGAAATTGATCAAAATGTTGCATTATAGCGGTTTTAATTCCCCAATTTTCTTAAACGCCACTTGAGTAGTTCTAAATTAGGATGTCTTGTCAATAGCAAATTAAAGTTCCTACAGAGAATATTCTTCTCCAATAGGCAAGTTTGTAACCCGTTATTAAGTATTTAAGTTAAAGTATGGAGTTAGAAACGTAGAGGAAATGTAGGTTGGAATTATGTAGACTTAATTATTGGTAATATTCTTAACCCAAGGTAAAATAATTTTTACACACTCAACTAGATTTCATTTGGCTGCTTTTCGAAATGTATAACAAATGCGTAGTCTGAGGAAACAGGATTGTAACCGTGCATACCAACAAAAATCCCTCTTCCCTACCTCTGAAAAAATGAATTATCAATTTATTCTCATAATTACCCTGTTTAACCAATCGATCAAAGCTATGTGGCGGTTTGGCAGCATATTTCATGGCTGTGATCTTCACTTTGTCACACCTAATAACAAATCTCAAATCTCCCCTTCGCTACAAGAAGGGATGACCCGCCATAAAAATTACTCGCCAAAACTACTCCGTGCGATAAACCACCCAGCTGTTACCACTAGTCCATATTTCTACAGACTTCGAACCATCCTCGTCTTCCTGGATCTTGCCGAATTGGCAACCAAGGTGGAAACCATCTATTTCCTATGGGCGGTATTACAACGTTCTCCTGCCCCTGATTACATATTCACACATGTCGACAATCCTCATAACCCTAAAATTATTTACAAGCACTACTTTGAAGGACGTAGCCCTTCAAAATTAGTCCTATTCAGCCTAACTTCCCCAGAATATGTGTTTATACCATGCTTACTCCGTCCCTCAACGACAGGTACGCTCATTGAAGAAAAACTTACGCTATCGTTCACCCTTCGTCAAATTGATGTAGCGTGGGACGCGCAAAATTTAAATCTTCAGGGGAATATAGTGAAATACCTTAGTTCAAAAAATCATCCAACAGGAGGGTGACTGCACCCCAGCCTTAAGACATTTCTTTACCATTCGTTCATACGAATTTTGTCCGCTGTTCATACTCGGACAACAATTCAACTTCACTTATTCCAACTGGAGAGTAAGTAACAAGATTGAGGCAAGAGACACGATCGGGACTATAAGCTTCAATTCTCTTCTTTCTGATGGAGCGCTGGACCAAATTCTAAAGCAGAATTTCGGTCTTTACGGCGTGAATTTTGAGAAATTTGAATTTTCTGTCATTACCATATTTCCTTCCCTGACGAACAACTTTGGAATATTTCTGTTACCATTTGACACACCGACCTGGATTCTTTTAAGCATTTCGTGCATCACGATTTCAAGTTTAGTTCCGATTTCGGTTTCTTCAGTGGGATTCAGTTATCCATTTGTTTGGAAGAAATTCATTCCCGACGATATTTTCAAGGTTTCCGCTATGCTCTTGGGGCAAAATGGAAATGGGGATAGCACAAAAATGTTTGCAAATAGACGCGTAGGTATAATTATCTCGATCGTTTGGTTGTTTGGATGCTACATTCTAATGGAAAACTTGTACCAGGGAGCATTATTTTCGTTTTTGGCGGTTCCTGAATTTCCCAAGGTGCCCCGAACCATGGAAGAGCTGATGTCCTCCCAACTTCCCATTTTAACCACTAGCCCATTTGGATTTTATGGCGCTGTCAAGACCGGATCAAGGCCAACCGCCATTTATCACTCCACCCTGAAGGTTATCATAATTCCACAGTTGATGATTGGGGCAAGTCCCGGATATCAAAAGTCTCTCGATTCCTGGGACAAGAGAATTGCCTTTTTCAGCCACATAGGGACCTGTGTTGAAGAAATGATTCGAAATATTTCAAATTCTAAACCTCTCCGGAAATATTTTAAAACGAGTGAAACTTTTGTAATAATGAATGTTGCAGATAATTTAGGACTTTTTACTGAGCCGATAAGATTTCTGGGTAAGCGGTTTGTCATAGATGGACGCGGTGGTGAGACAGGGTTTCAAATAACCACTGTAATGAACGGGCATAGAAATTTCATATTTCCCAGGTTTTACTTGACCTACATGAGACTGGTGGAGTCGGGGTTAGTTGAAACATGGCAGAATTTAGTCAGGTCATCAGATCGACTAAGAAAAATAAGAAAATATGGGAATGAAATGTTTGAAAAATATTACGCCCAAATTAATAGCGGGATTCAGTTTCAGCCAGAATTTGACGAGTTTGCCCTAGTCTCCTTGGAAGCTTTGAAGTATGGCTTTGCCTTGTGTGGGGCAGTTTTGTTGGTGGGTATGGTTAGTTTTGTGGTCGAGTGGAGGTTCAAACTTGCCATGGTTTTTATGCGGGTGAAAGCAATCGTTAGCGATTTTTTAACCAGGAAGGTGGAAGGTTTTCGAAATACGGTTAAAGATTTTGCGGTGTCTATCGCTAGAAACACTACCAGAGTTCGTATGTACATATGTCTACATATTAGTGCTTATTGGCATAGGTTGAATTCGAAATTTATGAAAATAAAAAACAAACAATAATAAATATAATGAATCTTGCCAATTAGCCATGTCAATCAGCATGATTGGAGAGTACAGGCATCATTATAGTGAAGCAGAAAATCAGTACACTGTAAATAAATTTCGATGTCTCGACCAATTAAAGAATCCAAATTGGATTGGATTCCGAAATTGATAAGCAAAACTGCTACTTATCACTAAAGTATGCATTTTGCAATCTTTTTAAATCTTAGTGTATGCCTTGATTTGTAATTAAATCAGAGAGTTGCATATGCGCGCACTAAATATTTATCTACATTATTATTTATCTAAATATTTATCTGTACATATGTCGAAATACACACAGGTAACTCGACACATTAGTAACAGAAAAATTACGTATTAAAATTTTGCCAAGATTTGTGCACAGACAGATGTAAATACATAGTCGAGTTTTCG